TTTTTTTTTGTCAATGTTGGAACATAAACTTGTATAAGAATTTTGCGCTGGGAATTTTGGGAATTCTTGTTGAAATTTTAAAATCTTCGGTTTTATTTTAACTTTCTGGAATTATTTACATTATTCGACTGTTATCCTGATCTTCATTGCCATATTCATAAAAATCCGGACGAAATACACTTGGCCTTCTTCAGGTGATTGGAATTTCGAATTTGTAAATTAATGTAAATCTTTCATAATAATTCATCTCTCAAATACAGACTTTCAGGACTTATTCACAAATTAATTAAATTTTTACTAAAAAAATTTTTTTAAAAACTATCGTTAAGAATCTTTTTTTTGTTTTTTTTTTTAGATTTGTTACAATATACTGTGCACTCATTCCATTTTTATTTAAAGAAAGTTTTGGGTTTTTGGTTTTTTTGTGTGTCTTAATGTTTATATTGCCTAAGGACAAGTCCTCGGAGAATTTAAAACATCAAATATTTTTGGTGAAACAATGCCTCCAGTTATAGAACACCTGCTCTGAATCGTAAAATAAAATAAAATGCAATAACACTAAAGACAATATTAGAAAAAAATTTAATCGCTTTTGAATAATAAGATGTATTATCAACACATTTGTCTCAAGAAAACTTTTTTTCGCTGAGTAATGAATTGATCTGTTTTAATTTTTTTTTCATTTTAATTAGAATAATATATAACTTTTAAATCATTTAAAATTATGCATTAATTTCTACCACTTAGGTGATATTGTTATTAAATAAAAAACTATATTTACTAATCACAAATGAAAAAAAATTACTACAATTCAGCTGCCATGAACATTTTAAAATAATTTTGATTTTAAAAATGAGTTTAAATGTGGCAAATTTTAAAATACGTGTGTCCCTACACGACATTATTAGGAAATAAGAAATTATCTATAAAGTAAATTTAACATTTAATGGTAATTTTCTATTATTTGCTCAACAAAAATCTTCCTAATTAAGATTAAAACCCAAAATATCTAAAATTTTAATAAATATTAGAATGCTTAAATATTTAAAATTTTTTGTATTACTGCCAGTCAAGAAATTATATAAAATGTCCTTTATGTTGTATTCGTCATGTAATTTTATTACAACTATCTCCCCCCTTACATAATTTGCCAAACATCAGACTGTCAATAAATGTGTCAACAACCCTAAAATATTCACCTCCTCGTTAAAAATGATTTATAGATACATTTTAATTTAAATTAAATAATATTTGTTTTTTGTTAGATTAAATCATATAACCCTTATCAAATAACGTTTAAGAAAACTATATCTTATTATTGAAAGTTTTTTATAAAGATCCTTATGTTGTGCTGACAGATTTGTCAAAGGAATACGATTTTATTATTTATTATGCTGAATAATAAAAAAAAAATTCCAATCAATGTAAATTTGGTTTGAAATACACCAAATGTATTTTTTTAGGTTTTAAAATATTAAATTGAATCTTTATATATTTTGCCAGATGAGGTAGTATGTACACCCCTTTACATTATTCGACTATTGTCCTCATCTTTGTCGCCATATTTATTACAAACTTTCGGCCTTTCAGTATCTGTCTATTTTCTGAGATGAGGTACTATGTAATATATTTAAATTATTCGGACTATTGTCCTTTTCTTTGTCGCCATATTTATTATAACGTTTCGTGGGGGTTCGGTTCGATATTCCAAACACTTGAATAAGACCGACAAAAAAACGACCGAAACGTTTTTTATAAATATGGCGACAAAGATGATTAAATTGAATGTATCAGCTTTGGATCAAAACTTATTCAAGAAATTCAAAAGAGTTTTTGAAATTAAACTTTCAAAAATGCATTTGAAACCTTAGCTATCGCTTTTTATCGTTTATATATTTATATATATATATATATATATATATATATATATATATATATATATATATAGATTGGATTATCAACAAAAAAATTTAGCATCTTATTGATGATCGTTCTAAATTTACTAAAATTGAATAAGAACAGCACTGAATCTCTAAAGAAATATGTTAATAAAATTATAACATCCAACAATGATGTTGCAGGATCATTTGTATAACCAAAATTATTGGAGATTACCAAATTATTTTTTTATATGGTAATATTAAATACACAAAACGTGTCACCCACTACGACCTATTATTTTTCAGATTCCAACATGTATATACCAACATATCAAAATTTCTCAATGATATTATTGCCCATATCTCCTCCTAACTATAGCATTAAATATACCCATGAATTCCTCCAAATATTTAAAAAGCACAAAATTAAAAAAAACCATAAAATTCTTTTGTCAATGAAAGAATTTATATAAACTAATATTCCTGAAACTTGTTGATATTTTTTCGGTGTAATTTTAATTTAATTCCACCTCCATCAATCCAATCCCATATTTTAAGAAAAACTATTGCTCGCTTGCACCACTAGAGTTCCTTAGAATGGTTCTATTTACACAAAATTGATGGATTAAATATGGAAAAATCTCTGTCGTGCTTTTCCAATTATTATATGTCCAAGGTTTTTTACTAAAGTTATTAAACCTGAAATATATATTCGTTAATAGACGACATATTTATTTTAGCTGAAAAAAAAAAAAAATTTAATGTACATTTCAACAAAAATTCCTCCTAAATTTTTATTTATGAACTTAAAAAAAAAATAAACATCCTTTCTTAGATGTTCTCGTCGATTTTAGTAATAATACTTTTAAAACTTCTGTTTATAAAAAAAAAAAAACAACTGGTAAAGACTCTTGCCATCTTAATTTCTCTAGTGAATGCCCTCTTAGATATAAAATAGGTGTTATCAAATTTTCCACACGAGAGCGAACAGAATTCATCCAATGCACGTGCATTTAAAGAATTTTCAATGTAAAGGGTGTTGACTTTATAAAAACATTTAGGTAATCAATATATACAATATAAATTCAAATTTCTAATATTGTTTTTGGCAATTGATTTTCATTTAGGCGTCTCTTGTCTAAGGTAGCTAATAGCAACGGCGAGAATAGAAACATTAACAATAATATTAATATTTGTTATGAAAATCATATGAAGGAAAATTATAAACAGGATGAATGCAGGAAATTATAAACAGGATGAATAAAAAATGCATAACACTAGTTGACAATTGCAAAAATTAGATTAATTATTTATTATAAAAAAATTAAAACCTCCAACCTTATAGTTAAAAATAAAAATTTACCTCCTAGAACAAAATTAAATAGGGTTTTTCAATATTTTTTACCTCCTCTAAATAAATGCCCATTAAATAAAACACAATTCCTGATCAATCAAAATTCGTAAATAATTATATAGATGCCACACTACAACATGTTTGATCCGCAGACTGTTTTAGTGTTTCTTTTCTGACCATAATCAATTAGATCTCATTTTATATTATTCATTATCTATATACATACAATATTCGGAACAACAATGGACAAATTCGGAACATATTTTAATATAATAACATCATCTACATGCAAAAAAAATGGCTAAAAATAATGGAAGCCTTTTTATGGAAAAACAAACAGATAAATAAAACCAACACTTAATAATATCAACTTCGAACATGGACATAATATCTTGACCGTGTTTTGAAACAAAAAAAAAAACATTTTATAAAACATACATAAAACAAACTATTTCTAATTTTCAAAGTTAAAATATAATCCTTTGAATGTTTGTAAATGTATAGCCGAAAGCGCCGGATAAAAGGATTGACATCGGACAGTTTTATATAATTTATCATCCGAAAAGAAAAAAAAAAATTATTATTACATTGAGAAATTGTTTATAAAAAACTAAATAAAAGCACCCTGTATGTCGTTTTAAATGAAATAGTGCATGAAATTGGTTGATGCCAATATATATAAATATATATATATATATATATATATATATATATATATATATATATATATATGTATATATATATATATATATTCTTTATGATTGACGTTTAAATTTCTTCAAGCTCGGGAAAACAACTACGACCGATTTGGTAAAAGTATAGAGATTCTTCTTTAATATCATCACGACCGAGAGGAAAATAATTTTAAAATTTTCTATTCATTCAATACGTTAATGGCCCGGAGAGCTCAATTCAATTATATTTGAAGAAAATTATTAATAAAAATTTTTGAGCCACTGTTTTTAAAATTACCATGCTTATTTTGAATCAACCTGTTTCAATACTGCATATCAAATATCATGCAAAAAACTGTGACCTAAAATATGTGGGTGAAACATGTATCCGTAAAATATTTTGTTTTATTTATTAAACGAAATATTCGCCTCGGAATTTTAACAATGTTTTAGTTGTACACACAACTAAAGCAGATCATAATTTTATTTCGATTCCGTGAAGGTATTAAAATATTTTTAATAATAAAAAAATCATGAGGATTTATGAAGCAGGTATAATATCCATCTCACGCACGGTGAATACTAGACCTGGTTTCTTTAATATTTCCCTTTTTAGCGAGATTAATGCTCGACAAGCATACACATAAAAAATTTTAGATCCTAATAGAATTTTTTCATTTTCTTTTTCATTCAAAATAATCAAAAATTTTTAGGAATACGTTTTGAAAGCGTCGCCCAACGTGACCATGCTAAACGGAAAGCTGATCATTTTAAAATTTTCAGTTATCTGTTTTGGATAAGACTTGTTTTTTTTTTTTTATGTCCATCGTCTTTGTCAAATTGAACTGAATTGTATTTTAATGAATATTGTCTTGAAAAAGGTTTATTAAACCGAAACGTCAGACGTCGACATTTCATTCATTTTAAACAACATAATTGCATTTAAGGATTTTTGTTAAATATTGGGAAATGTGGAAACTGTTTAAGAGGACTTAGGAATGTAAATAAATACCAAACTTGAAATATTTTTTATAGATTCTTGTTGGCCTGCTATATCTTGTTTGCTATCTTACTTTGTGTTAATATTTGTAGATTCACGGAGGGATCCCAGCCAATGGTCTGCCATGCAGCAACGCTTTGGCTCCCAGCACAGTGGCACTAATTACCCTGCCTCTAATATGAATGCCATGCCTCCTGGCTCTGGAATGCTTCCTCCAATGGTTCCCCCCAGCCCGAGCAGCACAGGTAGGACTATGAACCCGAGGCTGTCTCCACAAAGGGAAAAACCATATATGTCACCTCCTAGGGTACAGGTGAGTGCAGTGTGGCCATTAGAGTGATGATCGTCATCCACAAGAAACACCTAAACCTGTTTGTTTTGCAAGTTTTAGCATGTGTGGCTGGTGGTGATGGCGGTGAAGGTCAACTAGCATGAATCACTTATTAACCACTACCCAATTTTTCACTGGTCATTATTGGTGCATATGAAACCTGGTTTGGAATGGAATATCGCATCTGTCGTCCTTTAATTTTACACTTAGTTTTAATGCTCGTTCCATCATCACTTATGTTAGCTGCTCTTTGTAAATACACAGTGCATCTGTTGTACTTTGTCTTGCATAAAGGAGATAATTTTCCATGAATTTTATAGTTTATTTTTTTCTCCCCTCCTACACCCATCTTTTTTTTCTTTTTTTTTCTTTTTTTTTCTCTCTCTCCTTTCTCCAAATGTTAGAATTTTTTTAAAATTGCCTTAGAAATCATTCTTAACCATTTGAAATGGATTGTAGCTTTCTTACATTTTAAAAAAAAAAAAAAAAGAGAAAATTTTTTTTTCTTTTCTAAATGGCAATATAACAAAACTTCAAAAATTAAATATTGCATTTGAAATATTTTCTTGACTTTTTAGTTCATTTTGTATTGCAATACTTAACCTCTCTTTAATTTCATGAAACCTTCAGATTGCATGCAGGCATGTCTTTTTGCATGTTTAAGAAATCAGTTAAGCTTAATTTTAAACGTCAAACCCGTGATTATTCGTGTTGTCAAATTTCATGTTAAAATACTTAGCTTTAGCTTTTCACTTGAGTGGTTTGTGTATTTTAAATGAAAAAGGTTAAATGTGCTTATAGTGGTTTTTCTCTCTTTTCTTTTCTTTTTTTTTCTCCCCCCTTCCTCCCTCTAATCTATTTGAGGAGGGGATTTTAAATTGTTCACACGAGATGTCTCTATTTGATATTAGATAATAGGAATTCCTTACATAGTTTTTTTTTTTTTTTCTCTCACATTTTTTAAAACAGAATTTTGCAAATAGGTTTATGATTATCCTTAGTGATCTTCAAAGTTAAAGTCTGTTTACAGTTGAGATTTTGGCAATAAGACTTTGGAAAAACAAGTGACAAGAAGAAAAAAAATGATACATGAACAGAAAAACTTATTGGTATACAAGTATAATAGTGTATTATTTCTTTGCTGTTTCAAAATCTGTTTAACTTCTATTTTTTCCATTTGTAACCCTACTTTCTTGGTGTATATTTGAATTAATATAATTTTGGTAGAATATATTGTCATTAATATTTAGCATTTTGGCAAGAACATATTGCATTCTTAAAATATTGATGCATGTACTAAACAGCTGATAACATTTCTATAGTTTCAAGTCTTTCACAAAACTGACTATTGAAACTTTCTAGCTCTGTTACTTTCTAGCACTGTATGGAGTTTGCTTTTAATTTTACATTGCTTTTTGCTGCTGGTTACAGTAGTCTCCCCCCCTCACACACACACACACACACTTTTTTTTTTTTTTTTTTTTTTTTTTATATATATCCTCTCATATATAATTACACAAATCTGAGTTTGCTTCTGCAGTGTCACTGACTTCTCTACACTCCCAGCCCCACCACTTGCTCACTCATCCAATCAGCTATTGTTTTTAATTTTCACTTAAAAAAAACAAAAAAAAAAAACAGTATGTGTGTGCACTTCTTGATTTATTTAAATTGTGTGTGCGTGTGTGTGTGCGTGCGATGACTGTTTTCTGTCTGTAAGGCCAGAAAAAGAAAACTGCTTTCTCAACTTTTCTTGGCTAGATTTTGTTTGGTGTATCTATGGGGTTGGGGTATACGTTTATAGTAGTGTTTTTTTTTTTTTTTTTTTTTTTCCTCATTCATTAGATAGTTTCAAAGCAAAACTTCTGATGTATTATCATAAATTGAAATAATTTATGAATTAATTTTAAATCCTGCATTGTAAAATCATTTTTTTAAATTTTTCTATCAATAGCAAGTTATTTGGAATATTTTTTTTTCTGCTGTGGAAATGTCTATTATGAAGTGAAATTGTTAATTAACCTTTAAAATACTGGAGGTGATTTTGCTTGCAAAGCAAAAATTTTATCCTGCCACTGCAAATTACTCAGATGAATGAATAATAGTGTGTTTGAATTTTACAGTTGTGTTGTCATATCCTGCTATGACAGAAAATGACCTGAATAAAATCAAGTAGTGCATTAGAAAGGAAAGTAGTGAATAATGCAGAGTGTTAAAGGTTAAGTTGATTTGAAATCAAAATTTGATTTAATTATTCACTTTAAATGTTCAAAAATATATCATGGAAGGAATATTGCTATGAAGAAAATACTTTTAACTAGAAAACTTAGTCTGAATATTGATTTCAGAAGAATTCTCAGTTAGCATAATTAGTAAAGTCTGAAATTATGGGCACATGAGGCTTTTGTTTTTTCCTTTTCTTTAAAATTTAATTCTTTTCTCTCCTTACTCCTTTTTTCCCCTCACTTTATGATTGTATTTTTATCAACTAATCTACTTATGTAATCATTGTTATTGCAAGAAATTCTTTTCCATTTATAATTGTAAGAAACTGTCTTTTTAATAATTCAAAAATGTCACCTATTTCCTGACATAAAAACTTTGCAGTTTTATCAGTTTCTATAATTACTAATTATTATAATATTCATTATATTCAGTATAAATTGCAGAAAATATTTTGATATTACTATAATTATGTACTATTGAGTTTGTCAGCTGTATAAAAATTTTCTAAGAGACTATCACTAATATTATCTCAAAATTGTCTGTAAATTTTGGATTTTGTTTCCCTCAAAGGATTGTCTAATTGTTTGAATTTGAGATTTGAAGAAAATCTGAGACTTGAATATAAGAAATTAGAGAAAATTAGCACCTTCTAAATATTGGTTTCATGCAACTTGAATCATTGTTTATTAATTCACTGTAATATAGAAAATTTGAAGCAGATACATTTGATTCTTTTTTTTTCTTTTTTTTTCTCTCTTAAAATTAATAGCTAAACTACTAAAATTGTACTTTACATTCTCATTAAAATTTCATTTTTGCTTGTTTAATATTTCAGGATGTGTGTAAATGCTTTGTGTGTGTGTGTGTGTGTGTATATATATATATATATATATATATATAGATCAATTGTTTGCTTTGTATACATCGTGAACTTGTACCTTCATTGTGACATGAACGCGACTTTTTGAAATTGTCTGCTTATTCTGTCATCTTTTTCTTCTCTTTCAATTGCTTTTATATTCAGAGTTCCTTTTCTTCCTTTGCTAAATAGGTATTTTCTTTTATATTTATGCTAACATATTTACTATTGTACATTTTATACAATCTACAAAACATCAGTCCTCTCCGGTTGCAGATTATAACACATTTTTCTTATTCCTCCCTTCTCCCCAGCTCCTATTCTTTTCTTAAACTCCTTCAAGACCTTGTCTAAAATCAAGTTCCTTCCCATCTTGTGTTAAGAGGAGATAATTCAATAAATTGTTTATTATTTCATTTTTTAATTTTTTTTTTCTCTGTGTGTGTGATATGAAATTGGGTCGAGTATTTCTGGCCTATTTAAAGTTGAATACTCTTTTTTTTTTTTTTTTTTTTTTTTTTTTTTTTCTTTTTTTTTTTTTTTTTTTCAACCCACCCCCCACATTGCTGAGTTTACTGGTTCTTTCAAGCTTTTATGTTTAAGATGCAAAGTTTTTCTTGATCAGGATTTCAGTTAATGTTTTTATCAGATTTTGTTGATATTAGTCTATTTTATGTAATTCACTTTTCATCTTTGGTATTTTTTACATAAGAATTGTAATTTCTAATATGATGAATAATTTCTTCATTTTGTCTGTTACTATTAAATAAAACGTGCTATTTCTTGGAACAGTTCTCATGATTATAAAGACTAGACATTATTTAAAACTAAATTTCATCTTTGATTTTAGTTTCACAAAACTTATCCTTTGCTAAATGACAGCTGTTTTATTTTTAATTTTATTTTTTTTATTCTCGTTTTCAATTGATTTTTTTTTTTTTTTTCCCCCTTTCTATTTGCTTTGAAATGCCATCACTCTTGTCAAATTTAATCTTGGTACATATTTGCAACGTTTATTTAATCAAATTTCATGTCTGCATTAAATTCAAATTGCAATCTACTAATCTGAATTAAGGTGAATGAAGGAGACGTTTATAGTGGTAATTATAGCTTAATTATTTCCTTTATCTTTTCTCTGTCATATCCAGCCATCCATTTAGTCTTTGATTTTACTAATTTATTTCTTTCTCTCCACTCTCCTCCCAGTCCTCAACTCCTGAGAATTTTCTCAACTTTTGCTCAGTGTGAACTCTAGAACAGTAAATGCTATGCTCTGTGAGTTTTTTTTTTTTTTTTTTTTTTTTTTTTTAATCAACTTGATACTTTGTAGCATATTTTATTTTCCTGTTAAACTATCAGTCTCCACTTTGCTTTGCAAACTTAAGCTAGACTAATCTGAAACGTGCAGATTTGAGCCTTTAGACATATATAATTATTTACCTCCTAACCCCATGGTGCCCCCCCCCACACACACACTCTTAAATTTCGTTAGTATATTTCATATTGCTTTTATAAACACACATACACATACCTTTATCTATGGGTAGCTGTAGCGGGTAGTTTGTTGGCAAATTGAAAGTTGATAACCACCGGCCACTCACAATACCAGTTCATTTATTAAATTCTCCTCTTTTCCTTTACTTTCTTTTCTTTCCATTTCATTTACATTTGTTTTAATGGTATGTTCACACACAAACATTCATATGTATATACACACACACACACACACACACACACACACACACACACACACACACTTTTATGCTTACCTCTCTGATTCCTTGTTTTAAAAATGCAGCACTTTTTGTATGCTCATTCATACATCCTACATTTTATTTGTGTACAAGATATCAGGTTGGTGGGTGGTTCCCTTACATAAAAGCTGACATGTACTATACTAAATTCTTTTGTTGAGATGTAGATATCTAGGATTTCATTTGATAAGTTCTCAGTGAAGTTGGTGTGCAAGTTTAGAGTAGCCGAATAAGTGAGATAGGTATTAAGGAAAAGCCCACTGCGCCACCTATCCCTTTACTGGGAGGAGAAAATAGGTTCTGACTGAGACTTTTCAAGATTTTTTTTTTCCTTATATACTTATATAGATAACTCCCTTTTCTTTCCCACACTTTATTTAAACCCTCCCCATTTTCTGTTTCTTTTTCCACTTGTTTTAAATTTTTTTATTCATAATGTTTTTCCTTTTTTATTTTAATTGTCAATGTTAATGGTTTTAAAAACTAATGACAGCTTACATTTGAATATTAATCTTAAAATGAATCGGAGAGGGATGATTTTTTTTTTTTTTTTTTTTTTTTTTTTAATATATATTTATTTCTTTTATACTTCATTGCATATTCAGTAATAATAAATATCAAATTAAATTTTTGATTAACTATTTTGAATTAGGTAATTAGTTGAAGAGCTAATTTTTCCATTAAACTTTTGTTCAGCAAAGCTTTCATTTAGTAAAGGGAAGAAATGTGCCAACTCCATCATCATCTGTTATCTTCAAATCATCGTTTTTGTTACTTAAGCTTGTTCAGCTCTTAATCTTCCTTTAGCTATGATGGGTTGCTTTTCGTCTTTTTGTACAGAAGCCTGGGGGTATGGTACCAAATGCTCAACTCCCACCCAAGAAGGAAATATCATTCCCACCAGATAGCGTAGAAGCTGTTCAGCCCTTGCTGGCCAAGAGAAAGCGGCTAGCTAAACAAGACATAGGTAAATATACTTTATTTAATGGCAATACCCGGTGCTCCGCTGCTGCTGCTGCTTGCTACTTGTGAGTGCTGTTGGTGCTTGCACACAGTTTTCATTCTGGCAATTTAAATTAAAAATTACATCAAATATGCCTGTCAATATTTCTTTCTCTCTCTTTTCTTCATCTTTTTATATTATATATATATATATATATATATATATATAATATTGATAAATGGTTAAAACACTAACTACCCACCCACCTACCTACCTACCTACCCAATATTTTAACTGTTTTTCAACTCTACATTAAATATTTTTGTGTAATTATTGCTGCTAATTTAAGTTACGAATGCTTTTCTATCTTTTAAATCACAAAAAAAGTATGTACAGTTAATTTACATTAATCTAAATATTTTATGTGAGAGTATGCAATTATATAAAAATTAAAACCAACTTAAAAAAAATACAATTGTTTTGACTTTAAAAACATTTTACAAAATTTTGAAATCTATCTGCATACACATTCCTTATATTATTAAAATTGTCAGGTTCTTTACTCTTCTCTCACACACACACAGACACACACACACACACAACAAATCTTATGACAGCAAGAGCATCATGGTATAGAAGTAGCATTTTAAAGCCAACATGAGTTTTTTTTTATTATTCAATGATTAGGATTAAAATTAAGTATTAAACTTGTGGCTCGGTGCATTTACCTGCTTTGTCAAGCAAAGCTTAATGGTATCTTTATACTTATATATTGTGGGAATTTTCTTTTAAAAAGCATATTGAATATACTTAATTTAAACTGATATTTTATCTCCCAGGGCCTTGTGCTGTCAGTTTCTTTTTTTTTTTTTTTTTTAAGTTACAAACTTTAAAAAAGATTTTTTCTATACTTATGTTTTATTGATATCTTAAAGTTTAACACTGACTTACGGGATGTACTTTGAGCTGTTCACTTTTATTTTTCAAATTATTTTCTTACAGAAGTCAGTATTTCTGCATTATTCATAAAATGGCAAAGTGTATAGAATTTGACATTTTTAACTATATTTTTTCCAAAACATTCTCTGGAAGTCAGCGTGCAAAGAGCCTATATGAGTTTGTAACTTTATTTAAAAAAAATGACGGTTTTTGTACTTTTTTAGCATGTATAGAAAATTAAATGGTATAAATTTTTGTCTTGCTTTTTACATTATTTTATTACCTTATCCATTATTAAAACACAATAAAAGTAACTAAAAAAACAAAAATGATTTTAATTAAATATTGACTCCTAGTTTTCACTTATTGTAATCTTTCATTATGAAAATAATTATTTTCTATATTAAGTTATAGTTTAAACATTTTTATTGCGGAAGTAGATGGACAACCAGAACTTTTGATTTCTATAGCTTTAATCTTTTCTCATTTTAATATTTCATGCCACTTTTGTTTTTTTTTGTTTTTTGTTTTTTTGTTTTTTTTCTCCCAATTATTGCATAACCCCTGCCCCCAGAAAAGAAACTGCTTTAGATTTATTCTATATTCTATTGGTTCAGAAACAAAATTTAATTGTTACAACACAATAGTTTGATTCATGCTACTTCACCTGCCTGGCTGTGAATTAATTTGCTTTTTATTTTTAATAGGTAATTTTATGGATTACTTTTTTTTTTTTTTTTTTCTCTCTCATCAAATTACTCAAATTATGATGAGAACTTTGCAAATATTGGTGTAATGACATTGGTTCTTTTTTTGTGTGTGAGTGAATCTATTACCTGTTTTCTTAAACATTTTTCTAAAATTATTTCAGGCAGTAATTTTTTTTATATAAAGTAACAAAGGATTCTAATTATAAACAAAGTGGTTTAATGGATACTATTATTTGTAAAACTTGTATTCATTTTTAGCTTTAAGCATACATTTCCTTTATAGATGTTCCAACAAAAAAAGCCTATATTCATTATCTAAGAATATATACATATGTCTTTACACAGTTTCATAAAAGAAAAGCATTGAGCTCAAATTACTGATTGTGATCAGTTTACTTTGAAATAAATTTGTTAGTTTCAAAAGCTTTAGTTTCTTTAACCATTGAAGGCAAAGTGACAAGTCTTGCTGAAAAACTCTTTATCAGTTCTGTGTAATTTTAGTAACAGGGCATAATCTACTTCCTCTTATAATTAAGCAATGAGTTAATTCTAATTCTGCAAATGAAATAATGAACAATAAATTGCTTAACTCTGATAAAACAAATTTTATTGCATTTCAATACTCTTAAATTTTACTAGTGTTTATGCACTAAGACTATAATGATTGTGTACATGTCAGTTTGAGAAATTGAATGAGGTTATTGGTGACTTTGTATAATTTAATCTTAATCACTACTTCACAAAATTTGTTTTAAGATCTGTTTGGGATTTACAATGAAAAAGAAATTGTGTATTTTGAGATCCACTTTTTCATCACACACACATGCATACAGAGAAGGAAAGAAATCAGTAGATAATTGATTAGAGCTTAGTGCCTATATTGTTTTCTCATTCAGTTGCTATTTACTGTTTCTTCATTTTTCCTTTATTCTAATGAGTGAAACTTTTGTTGTTGCAGGTCAGACTGAACCCTGGAAACTTATGATGGCCTTAAAATCTGGCATGCTTGCTGAAAGTACCTGGGCCTTGGATACATTATCAATTCTCTTGTTTGATGATTCAACAGTAACTTACTTTACCTTGTCACATCTGCCTGGATTACTTGAAGTGTTACTTGAACATTTCAGACGCTGTCTCATTGATATGTTTGGTCTCTTCAATGAGTTAGAAGTGGGGTATGATGCTGTTTTAGTCAAGCAGAAAGAAAAGGAAGGGTCACTTAAATCATTCAAAGTAATGGATGTGGAAGATTACAAAAATTTAGAAAGTGATACTGTGTGGAAAGGAATGCGTGTAGGTGAAAATTACACATACATCACCCGGCAAGGCAAGGTGGTGAAAGTGAATGAGAATGATAGAGAGACTGCTCTCTTAGATGGCAAACAGTGGGACATTTACTCTGGCTTCACAAGCAAAGCTGAACACTGGCAGCTAGGTGGCGGTGATATGTCCACTCATGTTCAGACACATTTTGAAAGTTTGAACAATCACAAAATCTTCAAGAAACTCTTCTATTACCGTGGTATGAAAAAAGATTGTCAAGATGAAATTGTCAACAATGTGATGCCATTAAAATTGAGCTATCGTTTACCTGAACCTGCTGAACATGCATCAGACAGAGAAAACTCCTCTTTTAAAACATCTCCACCTCCTGCAGACCACAAAAGTGTAAATGGTGTGGTCGACAGTGAAAATTTGCACAACTGCATCAACAAAATCCATATCAAGAAGGAGCCAGTTGAGGATGAAGAAAAAGAGAATGCTGCCAGAACAAGAGTTGGCACTCAGTCCACAGACAGCATGGATGTTGCAACACCTGCTGCTGCTGTATCTGATCATGTAAAAGAAGAACCCCAACAGGAACAGCAACAGAACTGTAGTAGTAATAATAATAATAATCAGAAAGCTGAAGAAAATCAGTCAAATTCATCTGAAAGTCACAATGCAAAAAATGCTGTAAATAATGATGATCATTGTGAAAAGGATGGTATTGTAAAAATGGATTTTGAAACACAAAATAATAAAGAAAATGAAAAACCAGCTGAAAATAATATAGTAAAAAGTGAAGATCAGATGGGGAACCCTGTAAAAAGAGAATCCCGTTTAATAGCTCCTATTGAAAATGGATTATCTGTTGAGTCAATGTTTATAAAAGCTCAGATGTGTGACGATCAGGAGGAAGAGGCCTTTGAAAGAGATAGCCCTGCAGTATGCCTTATGTCAGAAGCTCAAGATGAGATTGGGCGGCGATGTGTTTGTATTTCTAATATATTTCGAAGTTTGTCATGTATCCAGGGAAATGACTCTGAAATGTCCAGACATCCAGGTCTAATGTATATTTTAGGAAAATTATTATTACTCCACCATCAACACCCTCCTAGGGTGAAGGTACGGAGAAAACTTGATAAAGAGGAACCAGAATTTGAAGATATCTCTTATACTGAACATGAATGGTGGTGGGATCATCTCCACGCATTACGAGAGAACACATTGGTTATTTTTGCTAACATATGTGGACAGCTTGATCTCTCAATATACCCTGAGGAAATCTGTCTGCCAATTTTAAATGGGCTGCTCCATTGGGCTGTGTGCCCATCTGCCTGTGCCCAAGATCCCTTGCCGAGCATGTCGCCATCCTCCGTCCTTTCGCCTCAGCGTCTTGTACTTGAAGCACTATGCAAATTGTGCATACATGAAGCTAATGTGGATTTGCTGCTTGCAACACCACCTTTCAATCGGATAGTGCAACTGGTTAACAACTTGACAAAAATGCTTGCCAACAAAAAGGAGCAAGTCACTCAAGAGTTTGCTGTTGTTTTACTATCTGAGCTTGTGCAGGGAGATAGCAGTGCTGCACGCGCAATTGCTATGCAGCACCCCAGTGTATCATTGCTGATAGACTTTTTGGAGACAGCTGAGAACAATGCCGTTCAGGTGGTAAGCACCCATGGTATCAATGTGTTACGAGACAGTCCCGAAATGATGGGAACTAGTCTAGATATGTTACGACGGACTGCAAACATACTGGTGCATTTAGCTCGAGTGCCAGAGAACAGACCCTATTTTGTACATCAACAGAGCAGACTTTTGAATCTAGTTATGTCTCAAATTCTTGATCAGCACGTGGCCCAGACTCTAGCCGATGTACTTTACGAGTGTTCACACTCATAGTAGGGAATTTAATATCACTTGACATTATTTTGATGAACACATTACTTTCATTTCCATCGTATCTGTACATTTTGTCATATCAGCTTCATGGTATCACCCTGTGAAGATTTTAAAGAAAGAAAAAAAAAAATCTTCCTCTGTTTTATGGAGGAAAATAAAAGCACTGGCTAGAAATAATGAGATAAAAAAAAAAAAAAAAAAAAAATAACAAACCAGAACATTTTTTTTTTTTTTTTTTTTTTTTTTTTTTTTAAATTTCATTTCATTATGATGATGGAGGGATGTATGAAACTCATCAAACCTCCTCAAGATGTAGTTATGTATAGCTTTTTATGCAGAGAAACTGTTTTCTCTCGATCTCTCTCCTTTTTCCATCTCCTTCACTATTCTAAGTCTCTCTTCAATTTTTTTTTTTCTTTGATACAGGTCAAAGTAGCCTTGTGCTCTGTTCAAAAGGGAATTATGGGAAATTGTCAAATTAGGTTATTTTTTATTTTTGTACATCTTTAGGTGTGCAATTTCTCTTTGTATTTTTTCTTTCTTTACAGCCCACCCATCCCCCATTTTCACTTTCTCCTCCTCCTTCATTGGAGGAGTATATGATGAATGGAGAAAAAAAGGCATCACAAACCACTCTGCTTTACCTACTATTCAAGTAGGTTGGACTTTAAATACACAGGTGCTCCTGCCAAAAAGGAAAAAAAAAAACTATTTAAAGAAAAAAATTAAAATGAAAAAAGATTTAAAGTCAAAAAAAAAAAAAAAAAAAAAAACTTAAAGGAAAAAAAAAATGCAAAGAATATACAGAAAGGTTCCAGTTGATTACCAATTCCAAGATATTAAAACCAGTGTTTTGACAACTACACTGATTCTTAGATATGTGATTCCGTTTCACCTCATGATGTCCAGTGAAAAGCACAGTATTTATATGTATCGAGTTGAAAACAAGGAAGGTTATCAAAGGTTGAAACGTGTGTAGTTTCCTATTTGTAGTAATTATCATGAGTCAACTTTGATATTCCCATTGTGCAAAGGCTTTATACTCGTATGTCAGAAGAAATAAATGTACAGAAAAGGAAATTTCTAGAGTCCATTTCAGTTTTGCTGTTACTTTTTCTTAATGTTATTTAACATTATTTAAAAAAAAAAAAAAAAAAAAAAAAACGTTTGACAGTAAAAGTCTAGAAAATTACGGGTTTAAAAGTCACAACATATTCACTATTTTATTAAAGTCCTTTTTGCTGAATTTTACCAGTTTCTCATTTTTCTGCCTACAAGTTTTCATCCTTGAATGCAATGGCTATGATGACAAGACAAACTGAAGAGGATTCATTATTGTGATTTTTTTTTTTCTTTCTTCTAATATAAAGAATAAAAGGGGGAAGGACTAAAGGAGGGGAAAGGGCTTACAATTGTTTAAAACTTTTTTCTTCAGTTTAGTCATAGAAGTCTTTTTAGTCATCATCCCTAAAGGATGTTTTGTTTTAGACACTTTAGCCTAATTTGTCTGTGTGCAGAACTTTAAATTTAAGCTGAAGTGTTAAATTTTAGACTATAAATGTGAAGCATTAACAAAAATAAATGATACAGAATTTTAGAAGATTAAAGCTGGAATGGATATAAAGTGTGTATGTGTAAATTTGTTGTTTGAGTGATTCTGGCTCTTTATGAAAATATGGCAATTTAAGCAAGATAAGTTATTCCTATATAATGTGATTTGTAATGTGCTTCCTTAAATTCTCATCTGTATAATTTGTATTTAATCAAACTACTGTGGTGCTCAGTTACCAAAAAAGTCTTGTGAATGTCTCTCTCTCTCTTTCTCTCTCTCACACACACACGGTTTGTTTTTAATTGTTAATACTGTTTTTAAGTTGATAATGGTAATACTGGAAATGCTAAAAGATTGTTAGTTTATTCCATATTTAGCCATGTTTTCTACACTTCCGTTTTTGCCGTTGTCTCTTTTCTCTCGCATAACTGCAGGGAAGTTCCTGTCAATGTAAGTTTTGATGGGTAAAACAGGGCTAATTCCATTAAATAAACTAAACTTGAACCAATGAAGCAGGAACTTCTTTTAATTATATTTTTTCTTGTTTAGGAGTCTTGAGAAATTTTCCCCAGCCCAAAAGAGGCCTCTTACCTGCCAGTTATTTGAATTGACAAAACAAGTGGGAGGAATATTTTCTTTTTGATCCTGTCCTTTTAGGAACCTTTTTGATCTTACTTTTAGGAACATTTGTATAAAGACTTGGGCAACAATACCACACACACACACACTCTTCCAAGAAACCAACTTTAATCTAGTATTTCCAACTATCACCTGTTCAGCACTTTTCCACACGCGCACACACACACACACACACACACACATCAAATCTTTGCTGTTTTCTTTCTCTGTCTCTCTGTTGTGGAGCAAAAGGTCAGGCTTTCTTTATTGCCTTATAAAAGAATGAAACAAAATAAGAATCTAAAGTTGCTGCAATTCTCTTAAACCACACTTGTTTTTCTCTCCAGTGCTTTTGTTTTTCTGCAACCAAAATCAGAAACAAGTCCTTTAATATAGAGGTCTTGTTGAAGTAAAAGAGGAATTTAAAAAAAAAAAGAAAGAGGAAAAAAAAAAATCACCAAGCTAAAATCCACCTTTATAAATATTCTGTCAACCTGACAGGTGATCTGTACAAAATGTAGGCATTTACAATCGCCTTGTTAAAATAAACCAAACTAGGTACATTTGATACTTTCTGCTTTGTCTTCTTTTAACCACCCACCCTCCCCCCGCTTTTTTTCTTCTGGGAAATAATTTTATCTTTATATCAGTTATAAATAAGTTATGAATAAATTTTGTAAGATTATAATTTTATTTATTTTTTATCAAAAGTGATATTATTTGAAATTTATATAATAGTTATTCTTTATTTTTTTTTTTTTTTTTTTTTTTAGAGAACTAAGCTGCCCTGCAGACAACAAAAATAAGTAATTTATTTTTTTTTTAGTGTTTGGATGAATGTATTTAATGTTAGAACATCGGTCTTGGATTTTATCATGCAAGTTGGGTCCAATCAACTAGATTTTTAAACTAACCAATGATCTTTGTAGGATAGGTATCCTCATAATTTTAAAATCTTATATGGTAGCATGCACAAATTTAAGTGTTAATATACTTAATTTTCAACTTTAACACTTCATGTAAACTTAGCCTAAATAATTTTCATTTTCTTTTTATTTTTCCCATAGAATATATACTGGATAAACTTTATCCTCTTAAGTATATAAAAACTTGGCATGCAAGATTTATTAAATTATATTTGATAAAGTTTTTATTATATTAGTCAATATTCTATTTATGGTGAGGTACATGTAGAAGTTGTCTTCAAAACATCAATAATAGTGTGTATACAACATCTCTGATTAGATTGATATTTTTTTTTGTGTGTGTGTGCTCAAGTACTTAATTTTAAATTTTCATGAAAGCATCCTCCTCTCCCCATTTATTTCTGATGGTATACAATATTTTTTCACCAGTATTTTAGCTTTTCCTCCTGTTTCTGTATTTGTTTTGTTATAACAGTCACTGCCTATCAAAAAAAAATGTCATGGCAAAATATAAACTTATTCCTTTTAGATTAACACTTTAAAATTTTATGAAAATATGCACAAATTAAAAAAAAAAATTTTGTTTGCATACAAACTTAATGATAGTAAAGGAGACACATACACACAACAGGATAGAAGTAACATCTTAGTCTTGTTTAACAAAATATAGTGTGTGTGTGGCAGAAATACCTCACAAATGGTAAAGTATTAACGAGATGACACCATTGCCACTAATGTTTTACAATGGTTAAAGTAGGTATTTCAGCCACATCGTATATAATTTTCTGCTTAAAAAGCATGATTATATTAACATTTTTTGCTCATTAATCATTTTTAACTAATTTTAAATTAAGCTAAAAGAGCTGTTTTGCTAAAATTTTTCCTAATTGAAAAAAAGACAAACAGCTAATATGGTCCATATTATCTGATAAAAAATTTTACTAAATTTAAATTCTACATTCCTGAAGTAACCTTCAGCTACTTAGAGAGTGTATATATATATATATATATATATAATGTGCATGCTTCTTTATCTCTAACCATGCACACATGAGATGGTACTGAAGTTTTTACTCCAGTCAGAATTTGGGAGATGGTTTTGAATGCATGCACATAACACAACACTTGGAATGTAATGCCTCCTATTTATTTCCACAGGAACAATATACAGGGATCACAATAATACCATTGGATAGAGTAAGTTTTAACTTAGAAAATATATTTTTCCTTATAGCCAACATCATATCAGAAGAGCTAATCAAGGTGTGCTTTATTTTTGTGATATGACATCTGTGCAGGGCTGCTCAGAACTTGTAACACACATTGCTGTTATCCCTGCATGATACTCGAAATGTTCAGCAAGAGTTGGTGAATATTAATGGGTGCAATTTTTTTTCTGCATGGAGGAATTTAATGATAAACCTCTTTGTGCAGACTCCTGTCTTGTATAAATCCTTTTCAACTTTTCATTTTTGTAAGGTGCCAGTTATTGCAGTTCAAAACTACATCAACTGAAGATTTTCTTGGCAGAATATTTTAACACTGGAAACTGATTCTTGAAGTACTTGAACACTTTCTTACACCATTCTAATCTGGTTTTTGTGGACTGGTGTTTGATTTAAGGCTGTGGTTATTGTGTGGATGGTTTGGGTCCTTCACAATTTTCATTGCATATTAATGAAGGACTGTTTCTACTTATTGACCTTGAAGCTGGATGACATTGCTCATATCTACATTGTATATAGTGTGCAAGGGAGATGCTTTTAGGATTTATTTGTGCATGAAGCAAATCTAATATTACATGAAACCATTTCCACAATGTTCTTGAGAAATAGATGTGTACCAATAGTTGACTAGTTTTTGTTCTGTATTTGCTTTCACATGATTTCAAGGTTTTTTTACAGCATCCTGAATATATTTCAGTTACTCTTAAACGTTGCTGAATACAGCTAGATTACAGTAAATGATCACATCTGTAGATTAATACATACACAGCTTCCAAGATAATGAGTGGGTAAAAATTCTATAATCTACTGTGCATCCTTTTTGGGTATTCTTATACCTGCAAAGTTTTTAATTGAGCTAACAGCAAATAAAGTCTTAAATACATATTTCACTGGAACAAATCTCGTCGTGCTGGCCAGACAGAAAGTCTTGCAGAGCATGTTGGCTTATGCAAGCATTATCCTCCTGAAATAGCCCATCACCTTCCTGTTGGAGTTGAAAATTATGGTACCCCACCATGATGCCAGGAATGCTACGATGTCATTTGATTTCTCACTGGAGATATACATAAGTGTTGTGTAAATGGAAGTTAGGTTAGAATCGTAATCCTGTTTTCTGCTACAAATGAGCAATCATTAACAATTTGCATTTACATTACCAGGGGCACACACCTCTGATCTCTACTGTGCACACTGTGCAATCTGACACTGATATCATTGCAAAGTGTTCAATGATTACTTAGCGAGTATCTGTCCTATATAGCCATCCAGAATTAGTCTGTG